AAATATTATATACATATATTTAATATCAAGTATTATGTTAAACTAATAATTTTGATTTAACATTAAATATAATATAAAATCTCTTTATACACGTAATATTATCTTTCATCTAAATTTAGAGTGTAATAAATTTATAAATTTAGATATAGACCATTCGCCTTCTTCCTGCTGCGCTCCGCCTTCTCTCTATTCTGAAGGTATTATTGCCTCCCTTCACTCAACATATTTGCTTCTTCTTCATTGCTTTGTTGAACTACTGCAAATTTCATCATAGCTTCAAATAGACTTTTTTTTTCTGAAAAGTTTGCAGAGAATTTTCAATATTCAGTGATTGTATTTTATTATTAAGCTTTGAGTGAAACTAAGCCTTGTAATAAAGGCATGAATATTGAAAATTGTATTAATCTTTATGAAATATATGTGGTGAAGAATTATGAATTTAACTTACCTTTTTTTTTTTTGTGGTAATAACAATATAGCAGTATAGCAAGGTTGTGGAACTGTGATCCTTCTGTCCATTTCACTTGTTGTGATTGGACCTCATATACTGTAAAATATATACTAATATTTCAATGAAGCTTGTGTTGCTTAATACAGTATCTTTTCTAGCGAGAGAAAGTGAAAGGATGCAGGGCTTCTTCATGCCTGGCTGCATTATGTCTGCCTCTTTCCATCATTCTTCCCGGATGATGAACTCACAATGGTAGCTGCAAACTATGAGTGCTTATTTATAGTGTTGTCTTGATTATAGAAGCTCATGTATATTTAATGTTAGTCTTGAAAGACTGATACAATTTTCAAAACATCACAAGTTTTATTAAATTTCAAAAAAAAATTGAAAAATGTTTTTTGTAAGCCAAAATATTCGAGCGGAAAGTTTTGGCAAGATTCTGCATCCCAAGGTGTTTGACTTTTTTATATAGTAAGATTTTCTCTCAATCATACAAGGTTTTTTTTTTTTTTTTTTTTTTTTGAAAGAATCATACAAGGGGGGTTAATTATGGAAAGATGGATATTTAGGCCGACAAAAACATTTTATTACAAATGCATTAATACATTAATTAAATAATTGTTTGGTTCTTTTAAATAAAGTTTTCATTTTGCATTTTAATAATAAATTCGTTGTTTATTAACTGTCCCGAGGCATTGCAATAAAGGGTCGGACAACTCTTTACCTCCCAAGCCTCATTGTCAGTTGCTTTGAAAAAGATGGGACACTACGACGCCCCTCTTGCTATCCTTACAACATGAATGTTACTCCTAGCTTCCTGCTGTTCCAAAAGCAAAGACAAGGCCTCTGCGCAAATAAAGAATAAATATGGAGATAAAGGATTTGATCTCCTTGTCTAATTCCTCAGGATGGTGTTATTGAACCCACAGAATCTCCCTACACCGTAATATTATAAGACACTTGATTACACATAGCCGGATAAGGTCAATCTAGCGCTGCTCAAAACCCAAATTAAAGCAACAACCATACCGTCCAAAAAAAATCACATTCCATTCTATCGTACGCCTTTGCTAAGTTCTTAGTCCCTTCGAAGCCAGCAACCACGTGTATGCGAAAGATCCAACACACTACACTTGGTATCAGGGAACTCATCAGCAATGGCTCTCGCCACCATCTCGTTGCCACCTCCGTACATCAACTAGTGAATCCAACCCCTCAAAAACTTCCCCACAATATTTTTTGATCAAAGCCATTAGAAGTATGGTATCACATAAAGGTAGGGTAACTATTATAATAAAAAAAAAAAAAGTAATTCCTAATGAAAACACTCAGAAATAGAGTCAATAACGCATTCACTAAAACTCAATCTCATGACCTCCTACCTGAGAGAGGTCAAACTCAATCTCATGACCTTCTACCTGAGAGAGGTCACTACATACTATCTGAGCACAATGTGTTAGAATAAAACGTTAAAACAAACTACTGAATAGATCTATTCCCAAAAATGTAATTTTATTTTTGACGTATTTCATGAATCAAACGTACTGTTATACTTTTATTATAAGTACAATAATTAATTTGCTCTCTTGGGGGTTAATTATGGAGACGACAAAAAGAATTTATTACAAGTGCATGCATTAAAAACATTAATTAACTGCTCTGTTGATTGCGTAGGTTATGAAGAAACACCATATAACAAAAGGAGATCAGACAAAAGGTTATGAAGAAACACCATACACCATCCGTCCATCCCAAATAACAAAAGGAGATCAGAAAAAAAATATAAAATATAAAAAAAAAATATAATAATAAAATCGAAAACAAAATAAAAATGGCTTCATCTTCTTCTTTTTCTTCCTATTTTCTCCTTCTCTGCCTTTCAATAATGTATCTTGCCGTTTCGACTCTAGGCAAGTCAATCCACTTCGATTAGCCCCCGCCGCCGGCGCCGGAGTCAGGAGAAGGTGCCGATTACGGTTATGGAAATGACAACGATTACCCCCCGCCGCCGGCGTCGACGCTGGACCCGGAGTCAGGAGAAGGTGACGATTGCGAATATACAAATGACGTTGACCTCGACTATAACGACAATACAACCGTGGCGGTGGCTAAGGACTATTGCCCAGACGTGGTGACACGTATGACGACGTGCCAAGAGTACCTCAACGGACACGATGATTTGCCGACGCCGACGTGCTGCGACAACCTAGAAATCCTCAAGCACGTCGCCAGACAAGTGGGTTATAGAAACATGTGCAACTGCTTGGAAGACTTGCAGGCTTCCTTCCTTCGTCGCCGGTCCGATAACATTTTTAAAAAGTGTGGGTTTTCACTTTCATTCCTCAATGTCGCTGTCTCTCGGAAAAGATGTTTGAGTGTTGATTAGAATTTAAGATTAGGCCCGAGGTCAAAAATGAATAAAATTGCATGCAACTTAACCGAACTTTGTAATATATATATTAATTTGCTCTCAATCATACAAGGTTTTTTTTTTTTTTTTTTTTTTTTTTTTTTTTTTGAAAGAATCATACAAGGGGGGTTAATTATGGAAAGACGGATATTTAGGCCGACAAAAACATTTTATTACAAATGCATTAATACACTGCTGGAAATCTTGCGTTTTCTGTCCAACCGTAAGTTGGTGGGTATTTTAATAAAAATTTCAATTTTCTATCGCAAAAGAAGAGTGGACAGAAAGTTGGTCGGAAGTTCCGTCCAACATTCGCGCGTTGGACGGAAATTCCGTTCAACATCCAGTGTTGGAAGGAAATTCTGTCCAACCTGTAGTGTTGGTTGGTAAACACAAATTGACTAATAGGTAGAAATTAAAATTGGTTGGTAAAAATTTTAATTTTCGTCCAACATGTTATTGAATGGAAATTTAAATTTTCTCTTCTTTTTCTAAGTTGATGTCTCAAAAACTTTCCCTCCCATCCAAAACTATCCCCAAATACCGGTCTTTAATAATTAAAAATTAAATTTAAAACCCAATCCCCCCAAATACCTAATCCCTTGCGAGACGAAGAAGACAGCTCCTCCATGCCGAGTTTCGACCACAAAGCTGCTGCCAACGATACCGGAAGACTCCGCATCTCCTCTCCGGTCTCCGCCTCCGACCTTGCAGACGACGAAATTACTGCTCGGTCTCCGCCTTCGCCCCTGCCGACGACGAAGTTGCTGAATCTAAACTTAGTCTCCCCTGTGAACGAAGGTAGGTGCTTCTAGTTTTATACTTTCTACTTTAATCTTCTATTGTTGCTAACCCTCACGTGCTACCACCCGAAACCCTAGTCCTACATCGCTTCTTCAGACCTCCCTGTATTCTCCGGTTCAAGTATTCATCTTTTATTTTATTTTATTTTTTTTAAACCAGAGGAAAATTTTCCATTTATTTCTTAAGTAAAATCAAGTTTTTACCATTTTTTTTTCTATTCTTAATTTTCTTAGATTTTTTATTTCGTTTTGCGTTTGATAGCAGTTAACAAATGGAGGTTGTGATTCGGAAGCCAGAACTGAACTTCTGGACATCATCCTTACCAAGGTGAAACTTAATAGGTTTTGCAATTCACTGGAAAATGATATTTGTTAGAAAATTCAGTTAATCTTTGTAGTTACGTTCTTGTTTACTGCCAAAAGTTTTGTTCTTGTTTATTGTAGTGTTGCAAAGTGAAATGGGTAAAGGTTGTTGTTCTTGTTTACTGCCAAAAGTTTTGTTCTTTCTTTAATATTGTTGATGGCTTGATTCATCATCTTATTATTCTTCTTTATTTATTTGGTAAAACAAATAACCTCTTTTGCAATGGTGTTCATGTTACATAACGTTTCGTCGTTTGTGTTTCTTGAACTCTCCTGACAATGAATGTTGCTTGCTATCACCTTGGGCAGTCTATAGATATCAAAGCTATGGAACAGACAACAGAACAAGGATCCGAGGAAACAAAGGTAATAATGCAACTTCGTATTCTTAATTTCATTCTTTTGTTGGATTATGTGTTTTCCTTAACTCTCTCTCGATAACAAATCGTAGCTCTCTCGCCTTCTGCAGTCTAATGAGTTCAAAGCCGTGGAAACGACAACAGAACAAGGAATTCCCGAGGAAAGAAAGGTAACAATGTGACTAATCTTGAAGTTAACATTTAATTGCATGGTATTGAAGAGGAATTCAATAGAGTTGCAAATAAATTAACTAGTCATCTGAGGTGTTTCTTTGAGTTGTTTTGACTGCATAGGATATGCTTATGAACAATTCCCTTTTATATCCCATTCACATGAACAGATGAAGACAAGTAATACAGCTCTTATACTAAGCAAACTTTAGAATTAGTATGTAAGAATTCAGAAGTTTTCTATTTTTTCTATGTTAGATTACTTGAACATAAAGGCATTCCTTTAATTTTCTAGTCATTTTGTAAAATGCATAGGTATCTACTCATTCAGTGTTAGATTACTTATATCATGGTCCATTTTTGGTGAAGGTCTACACTTGATCAACCTCATTGAAGAAGGAGGTTGTGGATGTTGCATTGATCAAAGCCATTGAAGTAGTGCCGGATTTGAAGGCTTATTTGGGTGCAACAAGCATACTTAATAAGTAGTATCGAATAAGTAGTATATATTTTCATACTTAAATAGTATAAATCAAGTAGTATATATTTTTTTATGACTTTTTTTTAATGAATATGATCATAATTTTTATTGTAAATAATTTTGATATTTAAATATATTTTCAATTTCGAATTTAGTGTATCCATTAATTTGTTGATGACATATAATTTATTTACAACACGTATAAATAAAATTATGGTAATATAAAAATAATAAAACATTTCATATGATGATTTAGGATTTTCCTACCAACAGTTGGAAGGAAAATAACAAAATATAACATGTGAGTTTTCCGTCCAACATTGGTCAGATTTCCGACCAACGTACGTAGTTGGACGGAATTTTCGACCAACGCACGTAGTTGGACGAAATTTCCGACGGAAGTTTTTCCGAACGTTTCTTTTGGTCGGTGTGTTGGACGGAAATGTTGTTTCCGACCAATATATCGCGTTTTCCGTCCAATTTTTGTTGGACGGAAAACGCGAGATTTCCAGCCGTGCGTTATGAAGAAACACTCTATAAATATATACACAAACATATTTTAATTACCATCCCAAATAACAAAAGGAGATCAGAAAAATAATATAAAATATAAAAAAATAAAATAATTATAATAATAATAATAAAATCGAAAACAAAATAAAAATGGCTTCATCTTCTTCTTTTTCTTCCTGTTTTCTCCTTCTGTGCCTTTCAATGTTTCTTGCAGGTTTGAGTCTGGGCAAGGCAATGCCCTAGGATGACGAAGACGATGACTATATCCTCAACGAACCCTATGGTTATATGCCTCACTACGATAACCCCCAGTTGCCGCCGGCGCCGGAGTGGGAGTCGGGAGAAGGTGACGATTACGGTTATGCAAATGACGAGGACGACGATAACTTCCTGTCGTCTGATACGGAGTATTGCCCAGTCGTGGTGGAGCGTATCTCGACGTGCCAAGAATACCTCGACACGATGATTCGCCGTCGCCGGCGTGCTGCGACAACCTACAAGTCCTGAGCCACATCGGCGTAGAAGTGGGTTTTAAATAAAGTTTTCATTTTGCATTTTATTAATAAATTCGGTGTTTATTAACTGTCCCGAGGCATTGCAATAAAGCGTCAGACAATTCTTTACTTCTCGAGCCTCCTTGTCAATTACTTTGAAAAAGAAGAGACTATCATCCAAAAAAAAAAAAAAATAGGACACTGACGGCGACGGCGCCCCTCTTGCTATATACCCTTACAACATGAATGGAGATAAAGAATCTCCCTGTCTAATTCCTCGGGGGATAGTGTTATTGAACCCACAGAATATCCATTTACCCTAATATTATAAGACACTATGGTTACACTTACACATAGCAACAAGCATACCATCCCGTGGCGGAGCCAGGATTTACATTAGATGGGGGTGAAAAAGCAAAGGTAAAATGAATTAAAAAATGTTCAAATACAATGTATAAATATAAAATACAAAATATCAAATACCAATATACAATGTACAAATATAAAATACAAAATATCAAATACGAATAAAATTGTTAAACAACTATATGCTAACTAAATTAATGAATTTCCAGCAAAAAAGAAGCCAGCAACAAGTTTCAAACGGTTGACCTTTCATTCATATTATGAGGTAAAACAATAGCCTTACCATCCAAGCCAACCTAAACTTTGTTTAAATCCGGGTATATTTAGTATATATAGAATTTATATGGGGTAGGGCAGTGGGGGCAGCTGCCCCCACTGCCCCTATTATGGCTCCGCCACTGATACCGTCCAAAAAATCTCATGACATTCTATCGTACGCCTTTGCCAGGTTCTTAGTCCCTTCGAAGCCGGCAACCACGTGTATGTGGAAGATCCAACACACTACACTTGGTATCTGGGAACTCATCAGCAATGGCTCTCGCCACCATCTCGTTGCCACCTCCGACATCAACTAGTGAATCCAACCCCTCAAAAACTTCCATACAATATTTTTGATCAATGCCATTAGAAGTAATGTATCACATAAAGGTAGGCTTGCTATTATAATAAAGAAGTAATTCCTAATAAAAAGACTCAGAAATAAAGTCAACAACGCCTTCACTAAAGCTCAATCTCATGAGTACCCACATGGGAGAGGTCACTACATACTATCTGAGCACAATGTGTTAGAATAAAATGTTAAAACAAACTACTGAATAGATCTATTCCCAAAAATGTAATTTTATTTTTGACGTATTTCATGAATCAAACGTACTGTTATGCTTTTATTATAAGTACAATAATTAATTTGCTCTCTTGGGGGTTAATTATGGAGACGACGAAAAAGATTTTATTACAAGTGCATGCATTAAAAACATTAATTAACTGCTCTGTTGATTGCGTACGTTATGAAGAAACACCATGTAATTATACAAATATATACACCATCCGTCCATCCCAAATAACAAAAGGAGATCAGAAAAATAATATAAAATATAAAATAATAATAATAATAATAAAATCGAAAACAAAATAAAAATGGCTTCATCTTCTTCTTTTTCTTCCTATTTTCTCCTTCTATGCCTTTCAATGTATCTTTCAGTTTCGACTCTGGGCAAGTCAATCCACTTCGATTACCCCCAGCCGCCGGCGCCGGAGTCGGAAGACGATGGCGGTTTCGATTTCGAATTTGACAACGATTACCCCCAGCCGCCGGCGCCGGAGTCAGGAGAAGGTGCCGATTACGGTTATGGAAATGACAACGATTACCCCCAGCCGCCGGCGCCGGCGCTGGAGCCGGAGTCAGGAGAAGGTGACGATTGCGAATATACAAATGACGTTGACCTCGACTATAATGACAATACAACCGTGGCGGTGGCTAAGGACTATTGCCCAGACGTGGTGACACGTATGACGACGTGCCAAGAGTACCTCAACGGACACGATGATTTGCCGACGCCGACGTGCTGCGACAACCTAGAAATCCTCGAGCACGTCGCCAGACAAGTGGGTTATAGAAACATGTGCAACTGCTTGGAAGACTTGCAGGCTTCCTTCCTTCATCGCCCGCGGTCTGATAACATTTTTCAAAAATGTGGGTTTTCACTTCCATTCCTCAATGTCGCTGTCTCCCGGAAAATATGTTTGAGTGTTGATTAGAATTTAAGATTAGGCCGAGGTAAAAAATGAATAAAATTGCATGCAACTTAATTGCATGCATGTAATCATTTAATTTTTTAAAATAAAGTAAAAAATATAATGTACTACTAAGGAATAAAGTGTGTGTTATTTATAAGCTAATGAAAGTGTACTCGTTGTTCTGCGCATATTCATTCGTCCCTATATCTCCCGACAAAAATGTTCTAAATATTAGAATTTAAGATTAGGTCGAGGGCACGAATGGATCAACTGAATTTAGATTTATGAATAGAATTGCATACATGCAATTGTTTGATTCTTTTAAATTAAATAAGGTTATCATTTCAAATTTTAATGAATAAAATTCGTGTTTAAAATTTAAATTTCTCTAGTTTATATGAATAATTGAACTCTGTAATAATATTATTAGATTTTGAACTCGTGATTTTTAGGTACGAGCCATCATTCCTTTACCATATGCCACAAACACAAATTAATCATACAAAACTATACATTTTTTCCTTGTTGAAACTATATGGCATACAGTACTTACGATTGTGTTTTCTTGTTCAGTCACTATCTTACTACAAACTATACCACTTGATTTTCATAATGAATATTTGTTAATTATATGTTTAGGATTTTATTAATAATGAAAAATATTATTTCTGTTAAAATTTTGTACTGAATGACTTGTGACACGTTTCAAGTTAAGACCCAAATAAAATTTGTGACTTTTAAGTACGAGAGCATTCGATCATCCTTTCGGGACATTATTTTTAGAGAAATAGGTTTAGAATAACAGCAATAATTTGTAATTAATTTTTAAAAAGCACAAACTTTTCATTAATAATATACTCTGTATTAATTTATGTGCTTTAACTATCTACGTTACGCTTGAAAACATAAAGAAACGTGCGTACACTAATATATATACACACACAAAAAATGAAAATAAGATTTAAAATATTTTTTAAAAAAAATTTAAAAAGAAAACTAAAATGGCTTCTTCTTCTTCTTCTTCTTATTCTGTTCTGCTGTGTGTTTCAATATTTGTTGCAGTTTCAAGTGTGGGCTGGGCCTGGATGGAAGACTATTTTAACCCTGACGAGTACATATCTCCGGCGGAGGGAGAGGAGACGCCGGCGGCGTGCGACTACGTGAACCGTTATTTTCCGGCGTGCCAAGATTACCTGGACGGAAGCGTAGATTTCCCGCGGAAGGCGTGTTGTAGTAACCTGCTTATCCTCCGTGGCATCACCTACGAGGTGGGCCCTCGGAAGATTTGCCAGTGCATCGAAGACTTGAAGATGACCTTTTTGGAGTCTCGGATCAAACTGGTCTACGAGAAGTGTGAGATTCACCTCAACTTTCCCATCTCCGAACACATGGACTGTTCTAGGTAGGAAAAAAGTCTATAAGTATTTTTTTTTTTTGGCTAAGTCTATAAGTATTTAATTCATAGTTAAATAAGGAAGTTAATTTTTTTGAATCTTACTGATTCTATTATACTGTAGTATCTGTTCAAACATATTTTCTCAACCTAATAAAGCACACAGAGCCAACAATGTTTTGAGACTGGATCTCATGACCTCCCAACATGGGAAAGCTCACTACATGTCATCTGAGTATTCAAAAAAAAAAAAAAAAAACCCGCACCCGCTTAGCTCAATGATTCAGTGGATAGTATTTAGGAGAAGAGACCGAGATTTGAACCTCGGTGGTGGTAGTTATGTCTAAAGTGGACAGATTCTTTGTGCGCACGGACATTTAGCCCTATGTGCCATTGATTCACCGTGATTTATATGCTCCACTGTGGATAAAAGAAAATCAAATAAATAAATAAAATGCCACGGTAAATTACTATTCATATTCTTTCAGAAATGCAAATGTTCTTAGTTATTACCTTTTTTGTCTTTAAATTTTATCGAGTAATAATTGGAGGAGATTGAGTGCTCACTAAAAGTGTTTTTGTATCTTTCTTGCAGTGTTGAATAGAGCAGAGAATTGAATCTGCACATTTGAAGTTAATTTCTCTTGCCCGTCATGCCAATTCATAAATTTTTTAACTGTAATCTTAATATCTATTTATTATTAATGTTGAATTCAAATCCAAAATACATACAGATTTTTTTTGAAAGGAAATACATACAGTTAATGCAACATTATATTAAGATGTTGCAGCCTTTTCCATCATCAAAACATTTATTTCAAAATTAAATTTGATTTATCTTCCAGCTGTATATAATAACAATAATAATTAACATTTATTCCAAAATTAAATTTGATTTATCTTCCAGCTGTATATAATAATAATAATAATAATAATAGTTATTATTATTATTATTATTATTGTCTAATCATGGTACACACAATTACATGAATCATAATGTACATTCAGTACATAAATAATGCATTTTTGATATTGATGTAGTAAATACATAAGATATCAACTACGAATATGGTTCTAGCCTTCTAGGGTCAGTTCTGATTTCGGATCATTCGCCAAGCTTGCTTGATGGTCTAAGTTCTAGAGCTAGGCGCACTTGACAATATGTTAGAGATCAGATCCCCGAGCTAATAGATAGCATGTGAAAATAGCCCCAAAAAAAAGTCCCCCTCTCAACAATAAATGCGATATTTATAGGGAAGAAGAGAGAAAAACTTCCGGTCTCGCGGCATGCACAGCACAAGGACACATGCATGGATTCAGGCGGGGGCCCAAAGGAGCATGTCCACATGCTCAGATATTCCTGAAGGCCTTGCGTACTGCTACTGGGGGTTAAGTCTATGGGTCGATCCCAACCTGAATAGGTCGGGGTGCAGATATTACAAGAAGGCTTGTGCTTGCTGCCCCTGGCAGTGATCGGTAGGCAAGAAGGTTGGTAAAGTACGGGTGCGAGGTCGATGCTGAACGGGTCAAACTCAGCTCGTACCGGGAGTCCGTTACTGACTATCTTATGAGCATGTTATCTAAAAATAATTCGCATAAAATAATGTACTTTTATTATGGACAATGTTCCACACAATAATTTGCCTAAATTTCCGGTGTATGGCATAAATGGAAAAGCATCGCAGCCGCAAAGCATGGATGTCGTTTTGTTTGGGCTCCATAATTCCATTGGCGATTAGTCATCACCCAATTAAAGACAAAAATGCCCATCCAACTCTCTCCAACGGCCCAAAATTAGCCACCAATCACCCTCCAGCCACGTGTTCACAACCCTTCCTCATCCATGCACACGTGTGCAACGAACAAAATGATACAGCACTACACACATATTTTTTGTCGAAATTATAAGAGTGACATTTTTTTTTTTGGGGGTATACTATAAGAGTGACATTTGTGTTATCCTTTTCAATCACTATCTCATCTAACGGCTTACCATTGCTTGCTTTTCATATACTGCATTCCTGCCCATGACCAATATATATATTATATATGTCAATCAATTGCATGTTTGGGACATTATTAAATTAATAAAAAAAATATTACTCCCTATTTGACTCTGTTATCATTGAAATTTGTAGCCTATTAAAATTGGTCGAGCCTTGAATGTTTGAGCTGATTTACTTACCATATATTTGGCCCATGATTCAATTAATTTTATAAAAACCAAATAACTTAATCCGAACACCAAAGAAGATCTAAACCTTTATATACAGTTCAGATTAATGGAGATATTGTCTATGGACAGAAGAGCCACAATAGAGTCATACTTGGGTACCAAGATCATTAACAATATCAAAGAAGTTTCAGGTTCTCCAAACGAATTCAGCTTTAATCTTTAAAAACAGTCAGAGATTCAAGTTTCATGTAGCATTAGAAATTTGTTTCAATGTCTGATTGTAAAAATGTTTTATCATTCCATCGATCTTATTGTAAAATTTTCATCGTATGATTAATGAATTAGCTATTTTATTTCAAAAAATAATAATAATAATTTAATAAAATATATTTAAATATTTAGATAATTTGGTTAAGTTATAATTTAAATGTTTGAAAATATTTAAATTCAAATTTCAAATGTGTGGTATGGATGATGTTTCGCATGTTATAAATAGAGGTCTCATTTCAAGTGAAATGGGCACCAAAGAATAAGTGATTGAAGTGTTCAAGCTTTGAAGTTCAAGTATTTCAAGTATTAAGTCTCAAATATTTTTGAGTCCAAGTACTCGGATCGATTCAATTAAGTATTTCAAGTATTTTGAGTTTAAGTACTCGATTCAAATATTTTGAGTATAAGTATTCGATTCAAGTATATTTCGAGTCTCAGTACTCAATTCAAGTATTTCAAGTGTTAAGCATTTCAAAGTTGTTTAAATTCAAGTATTTCAAGGTCCAAATATTTTAAGTTCAATACTCAAGTTTAAACATTTCAAGTAATTTTGAGTATTTCAAACTCAAATCAAGTGCAAGTATTTCAAATACCAAGTTCGTTGCAATTAAGCCAAATTTGTTTGTCGCGAAGTGTTTGATTTTCAAGTAAATTTCAAGCAGACGATCAAGTGTTCGTGAAATGTTTAAATTACTTAAGCAAAGAATCAGAAGATTTCTTCAGAGATTATTGTACCCATATTACACAATTACATGTTGTTTACCTTATACCGGATTTTCAGTGTTAATACAATACACTTGAACTTTTCTGTGTTAACTGACTCATATGTTAAATAGTAGTAAAGAACATTTTTGATAGTTTAAAATAATAAAAAATTTTAACCGTACGTATTTGTCTAGTCTAATCAACCAACGTAACACACTTATGCATATCGTCAAGTGCCATATATATAAGAGCATCCACTATAAAGAAGATTTGAGAGTTAATGTCAGAATTAATTCTCTCAAGTGAAGAGCAAAACTGATATGAAAATGGAATAATTCAAAAAGAATCCTTCTGCAAATGCCATAATAATGTCAGAAATTTAATAAATAAATAAAAAAGGAAAAGGAAAGGTTGTGCGCATTTCGCGCACAACTGGTCAAAAGCCGGTGCACGCGCCCGGTGGCCCATCGGCACTCCTGACAGTGCTAATTTGTTTGTTTTTTTTTTTCTTCTTCTTCTTTTTTCTTTGCCCTTTCATTTTCTCTCTTACATTCTCCCCTCTAATATCCTAACTGATAATGATGCTCTAAGATTAGAGAGAATTTTTTTTTTCAGTAACATAAATTGCCAATAATCTACGTAATGATAATATCTGATTGTCTTTCACCCTAATATATAAACTCTCGTCTTTCATAAGGAGACATATATAATACGTTTAATATAAGCAGCATTTTTTCCATTTTTGTCTTGTTTTGTGCTTGTTAACTTGTTCTCATCACATAACACTTGACTATACATCCTCAATTATTTATTAACTAGAATATATAAACATTAGCCCTCACAAATATCTTAGTTTGTTTGCCTCAATCACGCAATTCCTTCGATAACTGATAAGGTCAATTATCCGATATTATTATATATATGTAAAATCCAAGTATATAATTATGAATAGAAGATAAACTTTTTATATATGTAATTTTTAAAACACAATTTTTTTTTTTTTTTTTTGTTTTTAAGTCGCTAATAAGTCAAGGAACATATAGCCTATGTATACATGTCAGTTAAGTCAATCATGTTACATGTAGGTGTTAAAGAAGCTCGATCGGATGACTGTGGCAACTGAGAGGACAGTCCACGTATTGCTTGTCCATCCCGATAGGATCCACTTTCAGGTCAAAATTAAAAATCACACAATGACGTTAAAGATAATAAATAAAGTACCGACTTAATTTATTGGTTCGCAATTTTGGGATAAGAGATTAGAATTTGAATAAAAAAATTAAGATTTAAATTTCATCCTTGTGCGCACCAGCATTTGGTCTGTCTGTTGCATTAACTACTAGTAATTATTTTTAGTATGATGGTAAATCATTAACATTCAACATTATATTCAATATATATAATGGACGAAGTATGTATATATGTAGATAATTTAAACTTAAAATTTGGAGTGGATAATTAGGAAAAAGCTGCATCCAATAAACACGATAGCCCATGTGAATATATCACTATCTCACATGAGATTTTGCCACCATTATCCCCCCTGCCTTCCTGCACTTTTGCATGCGACTCTGTAGCTATGTCGAGCTGCCACATATGCATCTTTGCATGACAATCCCGTATACTATGTAGCCACGCATCTCTCCGCCCACACCTCCACCTATCCTCCCCACCATCCACCCCCCCTCCCCCTCTCTACCTATATATATCTATCGTCTCTACATTCATCTTCCCATTCCTCACTCAACCCCGTTAATTCTAAATTCCCAGTTCTTGATTTCTTATTATATATTTTTAATCTGTGATGACGAGTGTTTGTGAGTTTCAAAACATTTCCTATCCGTTCTATCTCAAGAAAGCTATGGCGGAGTTGGATGTGTCTCCGAGGAAGATCCTGAGCCGCCGTGGCGCGGCGGAAGCCGATGGGTTCTTGGATTCTCCGACGAAGATTGAAGGTGGGGTGTTTCAGAAGTTTCTGCCGTATAATGATGTGGAGGATGAGGATGAAGATGGGGATCGTTATTCCGCGGATCATTTTAGGATGTATGAGTTTAAGGTGCGGCGGTGCACGCGCAGCCGTAGTCATGACTGGACGGATTGCCCGTTTGCGCACCCGGGGGAGAAGGCCCGCCGGAGGGATCCAAGGAAGTTTCATTATTCCGGCACCGTGTGCTCGGAGTTCCGCAAGGGGAAATGTGGCCGGGGGGATAACTGCGAGTTCGCGCATGGGGTTTTTGAGTCGTGGCTCCACCCGGCTCGGTACCGGACGGAGGCGTGCAAAGACGGGAAGAACTGTAAGCGGAAGGTGTGTTTCTTCGCCCATAGTTCCCGGCAGCTCCGGATTCTTCCGGTGAACCGTTACTCAACGGGTTCTTTATCTCCCGTCCACGATCCCGCCGAGAAGAATCTCCGGAAGAATCTTTGCTGCCACTCTCCGACTTCCACTTTGATGGGTATTTCCCACTCGTCGCCGCCTCTTTCTCCGGCGAAAACCCCATTTTGCGGATACGGAATGACGGCGGCTAAACTTATCGAGATGATGAGTTACAAGGAAGCACTGACCCAACTGGTGAATTCCCTGGAACAAGTCAATCTCAACCCTCTTTCACCGGCGACCACAACCATAAACCGCATGACCCGACCCTTCTCCGGCAATGACCCGATCCAGTTCAGTCTTCCTAATTCTCCGTCCACTCCAGGCCGCCACAGCTCCGGCAGCGAATTTCTCACCCCACAGAGGAACACCGCCTTCTCCGACAACGGCGGCCTGACCGGAATTGATCTCGATTGGGTGAATGATCTATTAACATAAAGAGAATATATGAAGGTGCATGGAGGGTGGAATTCCTGTACATACAGATCGTTATCATGAGAGCACGGCTAATGAAGATGGCGGCGGTGCACCATCGGTATATATATGTGTATATATATGCGATGGGATTATGTGATAAATTATTACTTAATTTCCAGATTTAATGCTTGATTAGCTGGTTTCCCATTGCATCAAACGCTTGTTAAGAGAGAGTAATCTGAACTACTAGCTAACTCTTCAGTTTAATGCATGGTTGTTTAATTAGGTGCTTAATTTCCGAGTTTGGTTAAAAATGTAATTTGGTGTTAATTATTATGAAGTAATATATTATTTATTATGGAATTACAGTATTTCAATTGTAGTCTTCAATCACCTTTTATCTTTTATCTTCATGTTTTCAATGTGAATTGAACTTTACCTTACCACGTGAATACGTGAATTAGAAAATACGTGATACTGTCATGTAATAGTAAAGTAATTTAATATTTTGGTCAGATCACGAGCTGAGTAAAAATGGACAGAGTTTTGGGTAAAAATGTAATTTTGCGTTAATTATTATGAAGTGATATTTGCGTCGCCATTGTTGATCCACCTAAACTCCATCTCCATCTCTATATAATCACCAAGTAATCTTAATTTTGGGGTTGTGAAAGATTATGGGGGTATTTTAGTAATTTAGGAGAAATAGGATGATGAGGTGGCGTACCAGATCTCAAGCGTGCAACGTGGCAGAACAAAAATGAACATGAGTCACTGACTTGCAGCCACGCAGGAAGAATAAGTGGCGATGTATGGCGTACGTGTCATTACTATTGATTTGCCTTTCTATGCATCCCATCAAAAATATTTCATTATTGTGAACATTTTTTTCTTAATTTCATTATTGTGAACATTTTTTTCTTAATTTATGATAAGATCAATCGTATAATTAAAATAAATAAACATGTCCCAAAATCTCAAACTAAAATAGGCCTCGATCGATCACATAAACCGAGATCAAATACGAGACTGCCAGCTAGTAGTCAACCCATTATCATCTATTTCGGCATTGTTGACTGACTAGCAAGGAATTTAATTTCATGGCTCCAATACTTTAATTAATATTTGGTTGAATCTATCTATGCATCTTATTACTTCAAAAAATATCAATCAAAGATTCAAAGCTAATAGCATTATGGCAGGACATGCATGCATACAACCTAGATACCATACCCTAGAATTCACAAACACATGCGTCTTGGATCTTGCTGACAGCATATATGCTTCAATTTATTTTATTTAATGATAAAAAATCCCAGTATTTCTAACAGTTACATATTATATATAACTATAATTGTTATAATTATAATAATCTTTATTATAACAATTAGTTATAATATGTAACAATGAGCTAAGGTGATTACACTTGCTATATTTTTGGAGATCTTGTTGATGCAAGGCCATTATAACTAGAGTGTTGACAAGAATTGAACTTGTAACAGTCTGATAAGAATTATGTTTCATTTACTGGATCATCATTTCTAAGGCACAAATTCTTTCATTTTTAATTATTTACTTTTTTGGATGGTTGAAAATATATAGATCAAACCATTCTCTAACAGTGTCTTATTGAATAAGACATAAAATGAAGGGCATTTTTTAAAGGCAAAAAAAAAAAAAAAATTGTGACATCTTTGTCCATGCGACAGATAAGGTCAATATTAAAAGTAATACTTATACTGGAAAATGTAATACTAATAAGGAATAAAATTTTTATTACTTATATGAAAAAGTGTAATAATTTTAAAGAAAAATGTAATATATTTACATTTTGATTTAAAAATTACATTTTTATTATAAATAACAAATACTTGTCAACATTACTTATAAGGAAAATGTAATACTTTTAATGAAAAAGGTACTATACACCAACATTTGTCCTCAAAAATATTACACATATTGATGTTACAATTTCGGTTATAAGTAACAAACAATTTATTTTTAATTAGTATTACATTTTTTATATTTGTCCAACTTGACCCGCCTAAAGATTCGTGAGACGGTATCACACAATTGTTAGCCCGACCTTTTTCTTTTAATTAATGTAGGCCTGTACGATTAGTTTGTCTTATAGTATACCAGATAGAATTATGCATCCATAGAACCTATCAAGTATGGGCTATGGAGCATATTTCTTGTTTCCTGGCAAGGATACAGTGAATGAGGTAGCAAAATTATAAATCCCATGAACCTGTCCATCATCCATACCATGTTGGGATTAGGTTGTCATCACGTACGGATCCTCAAAAGTATGTAGCGGTATGGTATGTATGTGAGCCATGCATGCATGGGTCCCCACTCATGGCACCACCGTACCTCATTCATTGTCTTTAATTTGCTGGTTTTAATGAGGTTTCTGTCTCTGTTCATGAATGGTGTTGAACCTTGATGATGATGATGATGGTGATGATGAAATGATGGAAACTGCAATCTGGTTGGCTGATTTACTTTCACTTCATCATATCCACTCGATCTGTATGGACATCTTTTCTTCTTAATTAATTGTTCAATTCATCATATATGGTGTGTATGCAAGATTAGACCAGACATCAGACATGGACTATGGTCCATGGAGCATCCTCTTTGGACTAGAATTAGTATGAGACAATGCATGGTTGGTTTCAGAACTGTAATGGTCATGTCTAACGTATACAATTACAAACAGTCTATATTGACCTTCTTAGTTTGAACTAATAATCAACTTAAATTGTTTTATTATATTGTGGTTCTTTGTCGGCTAGGGTCATATATGAGATTTACTCAACACATACCCTCGAATAATAGCTGTGGGTTTCTCTCGTTATTAAAAAAAAAAAAAAAAAAAAAAAAAAAATCTAACATTTAAACGGATGGCACCCCGATAGGCATTTTATTGAAAAAATTAATCTTGACCTAAGAGAGGTCCATTTTTATTGCTAAAAAGGAAAGAAGCATGATGGCCCAAAAGGATGGAAGAAAATGCTAAGCTAAGAAGGTGCAACGTACCAAGAGAATTTGAACCTATGCCTTATAGGATAACAATACAAACATCAACCACCAAAGCCATTTAAGATGTCCTGTATTAAAATGTATGATGCTCTATTTATCGGTGTGAAAATCGCTGACATCCAGATAGTGCGAGCATACGTGTATGACCAAAAATGAAAGTAAGCTAGAGTTGTACATTTGTCGAGCATCTGGGACCTCTATACTATAAATTAAATAGGCACCCTTATTTCCCCTTATTAAGACATCATCTTTGGTTCACTAAATCCCCTTTAGTCTAGTGGCTTGTGATCCTAACTTTTAACATCGATACTCGGACAGTCGAACTTTGTACATAATTTTGGGCTTAGCGTTCTGAGCAATAAAATTACTATTTTCCTATCCCCATTCTATATTTCCATACCGGACCAGTTTATGATAGACACGGTCTCAATAAAACTATTATAAATATAGGGTAGAGATTATCAAGCAATCAATAGTGCTAACAACATATAAGATCGCTTAATCCAGACTACCCAAAAAGTGGAAGGAAATTACCAAAATTTTAACTTTTTTTTACCTACAAAAATATTCACAATTATTACTCAAAAATGAATCATAATATGTCTAGTGACCTTAACCGGCAAAAGACCATAATTATTCCCTAATCTTGGAATGCTAGACTGTTTCAACAGTGCTATGCATATAAGGTGCATTATATGCATGTTGTAGGAGACATTTTGTCTAAAACTTTACGTGCATATTTGCATATGAAATTACCATATAGGCATATATATATATTATATATAGATGGAGAGTTGTTTCTTTTGGTGAATTCTGGGTTGGAAGACAGAAGCGTTCGAATACGACATGGTTGGGCGGGCCTTCTCAGGCTGGCTTAGGTTGCAACAAAATATACGGCACCAACCGAGCCCAATGTGATGGTTGGGCCATGAATACATCGTAATCATATCATAAATTTCATTTTTTTAAATTGTTTTAATTATTATTTTTACTTATAAAATATTAGTCTTGATGGTATCTGAATGTCGGTTGTGGTCGAGGTTCTACTTAGTATGAATATAATTAGTTTTGATGTGTAAGATTCTAGTGTACTTTGATGAAAAATTTATAATTATACTAAAATATTGATACTCTCTTAAGTCACAAAATACATATCAGCAAAATTTACTGCAACGAAAAAAAGATGATAATGATAGTTCATAATCATCAACTCCTTGTGAGGATGATAATTTCATTCAATTTTTTACGAGTATCTCAAATTCAATGAAAACCATGATTTTTTTTTTTTTTTTCATTCATCGTCAAAAATGGAGATATTCTCCCACACCTCACCAGTCATCTCTCTTTTGCACATTTGTATTAAGTTTGAGATATGTCGGTATTGATTTGATTAAACATAAAAGAAAAAGAGGGAGAAAAAAAGAAGAGTGAAGTGGATTCCAACAAGTGGAAAGACAAGAAGCGTGTGAGGTGCACGAATGTCTAGATTGTTGTGATAATGAATAATAATACCTTATTATGTCTGGCCTCAAGTATGCCAATATATGACGTGTCCTTAAACTAGAGATTGCCCACCCAAATCTACTGCACAAATTCCGCCGACGACTTATATTACTTTAAAATAATCCCTTGCGACCCCACGCCCAGCTGTGTTTTTAGATTTCATGTTTCCGCGGTATAAATTTAACTTACTGATTCTGCAAGTTATATTTGAGGGTCAATGCTCAAACTTTAGTAATGATAATGTGATAATTATGTTTAAAGTAGACAAATTCTTTATACGCACTTGTTGTCTGTTAAACTATTGAGTCATCATGATTTATATTCTCACAAATACTATGCCGGGTCGTAGTGTGAGGGTCTTAGAGTTTGGTCGGAGATTCGACCTTTTGGATGAAGAAGATTTCACGCTCCCCGCAAAAATAACCTTTTAGAACTTTTTTTTTTTTTGTTCTTAAAAAATCTAATCTCAATCACCTATTAAACTATATATCTATCATTAGAACCACATTCCTACCACATATTCTCAATTACTTATATAAAAATAACTTATTTATTTACTCTTAATGTTATACGTTATTTATATTTTCATTGTTAAAATGTGAAATTCAAATCAATTTGTAGATTTTGGTTGAATTTAATTGATTGTTGATTAAAATATTTTTAGTTACATTATGTCCTCATAAGTCTAGTCTATATAAGAAGCATTAAAAATTTACATATATTAACCCTTGGAGGGTGTGGTTGAGTGAAAATGTTTCATCCATTCTTAATCAGAGGTCAATGGTTTGATCCTTGTCTAAGTAGGTATAACTGTTGCGTTCTATGACGGTGAACTCAATGGCATCAATTATAGTGATCCTACTATTGTGAAAAAATATGCTAGATGGGCTCAATTGGGTGAAAATTTTGAAATCCGATAGTGTTTTTTGCAGCAGTCCAAGGGGTTGGTTTACTTTGGGCACGCTTCATTTGTTTTGCTATTTTTCTTCGGACACATTTGACATGGTGCTAGAACCCTATTCAAAGATGTTTTTACTGGTATTGACTCAGATTTAAATGAGGATTAATCATTGTGTCTGACCGTAGAAACCCTAAGTATACCTTTTTTTTTTTTTTTTTTTTTTTACATATATTAGATTCCAAAATAAAAAATTATATATATGTTTCACTCAAATGAACATATCAAAAAATATTTTAAATATTAATAAAAAAATAATTATACTATCTTATATAAATTTTAGGTAAACTCAATTGGTGGTTTAGATCTTTTTAGCTATGTAATATCTTGATATAAATTTGGTTCACATATTATATTGAATGTTAATCTTGCAATGAAACTTGACAAAGCTAAAAAAATTTAGATTATATAAAAAATAATTAGTGGGATATGATTCCAATAGAATAAAATTAAAAGGAAGAAAATAATTTATGGACGGCAGCGTACGTACACGTGCCGTCCACCTTTTACGCGACATGTACCCCGTCCACACGGAATCGGCCGCCACCGTGTCCCACCCCAAGCCACTGTCGCGTGAGCCGCCTCAATTGTTCGTTGCTGAAGTCACTTAACGCGTCATCAAAGTTGTTAACGGTATTTTTAATACTCCGTATTAAAAATTTCCTTTTTGACCACATTATTACCGTATATTCACTCCGTCGGTCTCACCTCTCTACACCTTCAATAATTAATGCAGAAAGTAAAATGTCTGATAATGCCTTTTAATATGATTAATTATAAATTATGAAAGTGATACCACCTTAAATTGACTATTTTACCTAAAAGATGACAACAATGTTTTTATTAAATTAAATATATATAAAAAATGAAAAATACACATATTGATTTACGAACATCACATAAAAATTAGATTTATTCAATACACACAGTAATTGATAAAAAGTAGTCTTTAAAAAAAAATTAATAAAAAAACGGAAATATTAAGGATTTTTTCACTCACCGGAAAAACAAGAATAACGAGTTACAGTTCAGTAGGAACAGCAAGAGGAATTGTAAGCAATTCGCTCGTCGGCTGTAAAAAAACACGACAGTTCACTCGAATTCTATGTACAAAAACAAGCAATTAGTGATCTCATTCTAGTAATCATTGATTAAGATTAATCAAGCTTCTGTGGGTGGAGCAAGGTTAAGATCAAGGTTAAGGCGTTTCTCTGCAACGCCGGCGCCGGCGCCGACAAAGTGGTTCTCTTCGACGACGGAGAAGGTGCTTGAGTCGCTGAAAGCGGGGCGTTTGGAAGGATTCGCCGGCTCGAACTGGTCCGGGAGTGGGTGGCTAACGGCGCCGGGCCGCCACAGCGTCTCGAACAGCAGAACCGGCTGTCCGTTGGGGAGAACGGCGACGGCCGGCTGAGGGTGAAAGAACTGAAATGTATTATTATTATTAGTATTCACGGATCTAACGCCGGCGGCCTCGCCGGAACCAAGGCGGCGCGTGAGATCCAGCTCCAGTGGGAACTGCGGCGCGTGGCCGCCCGTCTCGCTCCCGGAAGACTCCACCGTGCTGCTCTGACTGGGGCTGTGATTCTCCGACGGCGAGGGGAAGTTGGTCTTCGCCTTAGCCCCACGGAACTCCCTGGCGGCGGCGTCATACGCCCGCGCCGCCTCCTCCGCCGTGTCAAAAGTCCCCAGCCACACGCGGCTCTTCTTGCCCGGATCACGGATTTCCGCGGCGTAGCGCCCCCACGGCCTCTTCCTCACGCCTCTGTAGTGCACCTCCTTAATGCCGTTCACTTTCCCGGCTCCACCCTTAACCCCGCCGTCCTCTCTGCCCTTCACCGCCATAGCTACAACCTACTCAAGAAACTCAGAAAGGACGAATAAGAAGAAGAAGAATGGAAGTGATGAGGAAGAAGGAAGTGAAGTGCTTAAATAAGGTGGAAACCGAAAGAGGGCAGAAAGTAATGGGGTCAGGGAGGCGGTCAACGAGATGGGATTGAAGGACTGAGGTGGCGCCGCCCAATTGTCTAGAGAGAGAAAGAGAAAATATTAATATTATAACTCTGTTGATTTAATAATCACAACGTTATAAGTTTAACCTATATTTGAATAATCAAACTTATCAAGCATCTATGCTCGGATTACATTTTTTTTAGCTCTTCTTCAGAGAAGGTTACATCGAACCTACTATCTTGTAAATCAATAGTACTAACAAAAAAGGTTTCGCATTTTTGCACCTTTTAGAGTTTTTGTTAGTGATTGTGAATTTTTTGATTGGAGAAGATATTAAAATATAAGTTTTACTACATGCACTTCATAATTTTATTACTTAGATTTTACTCTCTGATGTAGCAGATTCTGATAAATTATTTTTTTTCATGTAAATTTTAATATAAATGTCTATATCAAAATTTTGTGTGTGAAAATACAAAATGGAAATACATATTTCATTTTCTTTAAAATATTGTTTTGCTGAATATTGGGGAGATTACGTGGCACGCGGCCGTTTCAGAAGACAAGCCGTCTTTTTTGTTGAATTTTGGGGGTGCCGGCTTTTCTTGTGCTTTTCTGGAGGCGGCCAATTCATTCTGTGGATATGTTTATCCCTCATCTTTTTATATTTGCTATGACGCCCCTATACTTCTATTGTTCCATGGATTAACCCTCTTTTTAATCTTTAATTTAACATTCACCCATTGATGTTTTTTTTTTTTTTTTTTTTTTTTTTTTTTTTTTTTTTTTGATACATTAAATATCCGCTTACACTAAGTAATAAGTTTTCATTCTGATTTGTAAAGGTGTCTCAATAACTCCTTAGACTTTTAGTGGGGTTTCATCTGATTCTCAAAACGCATACATATTTATTACACCCTACGTTTATTTAACAATATATGTTATTATATGATTTTAAATTTTAATTTCATTTTTCAAACACATTAATTTCATTTTAACAATATTGAAGTATCATTTTAATTATATTAACAATTTCATTTGATAATATGTTGTTGAATGAATTATGTTTTTTAGTTTCATTTTTCACACTGACACACTAATTCATTTTAGCAACACTAAACTCTAACGTATCAATTTTTTTTTTAATACCATTGACTCTATTACAATGATTCTACTACAATTTTATTTGACAATCATGAACCACGGAGCGTTATGTTGTGCAATCGTGTGCACCATGCAAGGTGCACACGGAATTGAATTCATAATTTCTAAACTGTAGATCCATAATTTCTAAACTGTAGATTCATAATTTTTAAACTGTATAGTTATCAAATTATGAACATATAGTTCAGTGATTTGTGAATACAAAGTTCAACAATTAGGAATATAAACATTAAAAATTATGAACACAGAGTTTTGTAATTATGAATATAGAGTTCAATAGTTATGAATCTATAATATAGAAATTATGAATATAATTCCGTGTGCACGGCACACAATTGCACAACATAATTTGCCCATGATCCACATAACACTATGGATCATGTTTCACCGTATAACAACCGGTATTTTTGACGATAAAATGCGACCGTAACAAAATATAAAAGGCCCAATAGGCCCAATAGTACGAACCCCCGAAGAATTCAAATCCTACGCTCCAACGGCTCTTCCTCCCACCCAGTCCCTACTGCGCCTTTATCTTCTCCATTCCCTCGAAAATTCTGCAGAGTTATTGAAACAGACAACCTCCATGGATACTGCTCCGCCGTCGCATCGATCCGAACCCAGAAACCGAACAAAATCATCTTCAAGGCTTTCAAAACTGCGTCAAATCGATGACCAAGAAGGTGAGATTGGTGAATCATCCCCTTCCAAAGTCGCTCTTGAAAGTGCCACTTCAGTCCCAAATCAAGAGCTCTTACTTCTCTCCCCTTCGCCTAATCGGAAATCGAAGATCCAGAAGTTTGAAATGGGCGATGATGGTGCGGAGGCAGTTGGGGTTCGCAGGAGATGCAGGAATAGGAACGCTGCTGCAGTTTGTGCGTCTCCGAGGAATAATCGGAGATTGAGGAAGCGGTTAGATCAAGATATGGTGAGAGAAGAGAAGGATTTGGGCGCTGGAGAGGAGGCCATTAAACCTAGAAAGAAGCGGCAAGCTGTCAGATCCAAGAAGGATAAGCTTAGCGTAGTTCCTTCAGTCCCTTCTCCAAGTAAGATGATCTTCATATCTTATTCAATCATTTATTCTTCTATTTCTGCTGTTTCACCATCATTTTAATGTTAATTTTTTTATCACTCTTTCGAGTCAAACATTTCAGAATCTCAAATTTTTAAAATTATTTTCGTCCATCCACACCAAAGAAACTAAGGAAAAGGTCTACTGATGGGATAACCAAAGGGCCTAGCATACTTGAATGTATGAAAATCACCTTAAAAATGTGAGATTCAAGAATGTTTGAGTTGGAAGGGTGATTGGAGTGATCAAAATTGGCATTAAAATTATAGTAATCAGATCACATTTGTCTGTCATTAAACTTGTAGACTAAAATTGTCACTACGGTAATAGTCATTGAACCAATATTGGTACTTTCTCGGTTACTCCTATTTGTGTGATTGATGAAATGTTGATTTTGGTGACTAGAATCAACTGAGAGTGAATGGGTCAATCTTGATAGAATTGGGCATTAAAATTATAATAATCAGATCACATTCGTCGGTCATTAAACTTGTGGACTAAAATTGTCACTACTATAATAGTCATGGAACCAATATTGGTAGTTTCTCGGTTACTCCTATTTGTGTGATTGATGAAATGTTGATTTTGGTGACTAGAATCAACTGAAAGTGAAGGGGTGAATCTTGATAGAATTGGGCAGCTGATAAATGATCTATTGATGTGGAGAGATCCTGCAAGATCAACCCTTTGGTTTGGTTTTGGGTCTCTCTGCTTCTTATCTTCCTGTTTTGCCAGTGGAGTTAACTTTAGGTATGCCCTACCTAATTGGCTAATTCTTGATTACCCATTTTTCTCATCACTTAACCTTCATTTTCCTATTTATTGTTCACCATTTTGATTTGCAGCATTTTCTCTGTTATATCTCATCTGGGACTTCTGTTTCTGGCTGTGTCATTCATCTTGAATTCACTCCGGCCAAGGTTAGACACACCTTAACATTTCCTTTGTTTTGTTAATTTTTCAGTACCTTTGCTTTGCATCCCTCCATTTTTTTTTTGTCTGAAATTTGCATCAACTTTCAGAGAAAATGCTGAAACTAAGACTGAGATTAAGCTAAAGGAAGATGACATTTTGAGAGTTGGTAGATTCATACTTCCAGCAGTAAATCTTGCAATTTCAAAAACCAGAGACTTGTTTTCAGGAGAGCCTGCCATGACCCTTAAAGTAAACATTCTTATTCTAAATTCTTTTGTTTTCCACAGTACTTAGCTTGCTTTAATCCATTAGGTTTAATTCTTACGTTCTTAGTCACCACTCACCTGCGTTTACTTCAATTCTTCAGTTTTTCAAATTGGGTTGTTTCTGTTTCTCTAGTTTTCTATTTCTCTTGAAAAACGGTGAATTTTTCCTATTAGTGTAAACGCCCTTTCTTGTCATTTTAGGTAGTGCCATTCCTGTTGGTTGGAGCTGAGTATGGCCATCTGCTAACTCTATGGAGGCTATGTGCACTTGGTAAGGGCACATTCAATATCCAAACGCATTTTTCATTATATGAAAGAAAATTGATGAAGTAAACTTTAATGTTATTATGTAGCATAAGTTTCTGATATGCAATCCTTTGTGGGGTCATATATGAAACTCTTTACAGGGTTTTTCATTAGCTTCACTGCTCCAAAACTATATTCATCTTACTCTACCCAAATATGCAGAAAAGGTATGATCTTTCAAACCCTTACTCTGATAAAGCTATCTGATCATTTTACTCGGCTACTCGCTAATCATGTCTAAACACTGAAAGAAACCATTTGAAAAAAAAAAAAAAAAACACCAGGTGAGTTCATCAGATCTTGGGCGATGGACGCTTGGGGTGCTTGCTCTCATAGGAAGATGATAGCAGGGTTAGCACTGTCTGCCTTTTGGAACCTGACCACTGTCAGGACCCGTGTTTTTGCAGGTAGTTTTGGTGAAACTTTTTGCAGGATTATTGTTTCTTTGGTTCTCGTTTAGATATTTTATCTTTTATGTCATTGATAACGAAAATTTGTCACAAACGGGCATTGCAGCGCCCATATAAGCAACACAACTCACTGAGGTGTTTGAATGATTCAGATATGAATCCAGAAAAGTTGCATTTGTTTTAACCAGTCCAGTTAATTAAAGCTATGTTCTGCAGCATTCATATGCCTGGCAGCAATCAGATACTATAAACAACATTCAGGAGGAGGTCGGGTTGAAGAAGTCACGGTAGAAGAAGAACAAGAACAGCAACAAGAACAAGAAAAAGAAGAAGAAGAAGAAAAACAAGAGAATGATCACAAGGAATTGATTGGGTTAGGAAGTGAATCCCACAAGTAACTCTTGTGCTGAGATTTTAGTGAAAAAACATCATAATGTTCATGGCTTTCCTAATCATCTTATAATTTCTTCTCTTATATTTCTAAAAATTCTTTTTTTTTTTTTCCTAATCCAAAACCTATCCCATAAAGAAGCAAATTTGATACACAAGATATCAGAGGTAACATTAGACACTAGAAAATGTGCTGTATTATCATCATCCAAATGGTCACATGGTAACACATTTAACACCAGAAAAAAAATGAGAACTATGGCCTCTAAATTTCCTTCACAAATTTATCGGGCTGATACAGTCTGTACTGAAGCAGGCACTAAACCATAGGAAACGGTTAACAAAACGAGTGTAGCTAAGGAAATGACTTGATCTGATCGCACATAGATAAGTACCCGCTGTGGCAGCAACTGGCAGGAAACTTGATGGAACCCTTGTAGGACACAGAACATGGATCATACATCATCATTGCAAGCTGATTGATACATAAAAAACAATCAGTATGATGTTTCACCGTTCGATATTTCTAGTATCATAAGTAGTTCAAACAAAAGACAAACTCATCTCCATTACAACTCATCAAAGAATTTCACAACCTCGCTATTTGGTACATCAGTTTTGATGTTGAAAACAGATGTTTACTTTATCAGAATGCAAAAAGAATAAAAAAGATGATCTAGTTCCTTAATGTTTAAGCATATCCACAGCAACCTTCTGCAGTTCACTCATGAGTCATGACCCCTTCTTAACTTAGCGCCACATAGATAGAGCGTAGAAATTTGTAAATTACCTCAAGTCCTCCAAAAATTCATCACACATCATCATTGACAGCTGATTAAATAAAGATAAACCGTAAGTGGGTACTTGATTGACTTAGTTTGAGAAATATGTCAATTGCTCTTAGATCTTAACAACTATGTACTGATAATAGAAACCAAAAAATGACACAATGGCTGTCCACCTGTCCCCGTATGTTTTAGTTCATTTTCAAATGAAATAATAATATGAAGAAAAAAAAAAAAGAGATACCGAAGTATAATATAGACTTGGGTATAATACGGGATATAAATCAATAGATAATAAATTCTTAAATTATTTTAAAGAAAATCTACAGAAATTCCAGTCTTTCAAACAAGTCCAACATGTAAACATCATTCTCTACTATAATTGAGAGCTTTGAAACATAAAGAAATCCAAGGTAACCCTCTTTGCTTGTCCCTCTTCATCTAGTCTTGTCAACGCCTACAATAGGAAAAAATGCATGCAGCACCTTATTAAAATGTGAGGATAGGAGCAATCCCACAGGTAACTGACTGCTATTTGAAATGGTAATAAGGAATAACAGTAACATTGCACTATTCTATTGCTATGGTTTGGATGCCTATCTTCACCCTGGGACAACAAAAGGTTTCTAGTCATACTACAGAGAATGTAGACCCAAATTCCTGAATGCTATGATGTACAAGATCTCCAGTATGCCACATAAAAGACTCAAGAAAATTTTCACTTACCAAAAATTGTTAGAGGAAAAGGAAGACCCTAGAGGTGGTGCTAGATACCTAAATCAAGAAGGAAAACCCACAGGTTAGACAACCCAATTAGAAAAAGTTTATAAAAGGAAACTGTACAACTAAGCGGGATAGGAAGACAAATGTTACTTTTTTTTTTGGCAGAGGGAAAGGCAAAAGAATAGTTGGTATACAAAATGAACCATAGTAAATTGACTAAAATATGCTACAAGACGGATGAAATTCTAATATAGCAAGATTCAAAAGGATGAAATTTTTTTTCCTTGTGGGGGAACACCAAAGTTTTTAATCTACTGTGAGTTAGAATAGAGATTTGGATAGAGGGACATGAAAACTTAAAACACTTGGAAAGGTAAAATACCCAGTAATAAAGACTACACTTCAGACTAGAGGTGAAAATTGGAATTTGAGAAGGTTAAACAATCAAAATTAGCTTTAAAAATGTTATGAAATCAAACCGTGGCAACTGAACCTAGTCCCCTCCAATGGGTTTAAATTATAAACTAAAGAACTTGCAATTCCAAAATTTTCATCAGCATACTGAAGCAAACCTTCTACACCTGCACTCTCGTTTCTAGCAAAACGTCCTTGTTTCATAAATGACACACAGGTTTAACTATTTTAAGACAAATTCAACCCTAATACAACCACAATAATCCAACCTTATTCAAATCATACAGAGTATACAAAGACTAAATCAATTCCGCTTGCACTCAAATCAGCAACGATTCAGCATTTGAAAACTAATCATCAAATTCACGCTTTAAACTAAATTCAAGTAAAAACTAGCACTTCATACATAGAAATGTAGAGTAAGATACCTTCGGAAAGCCAACCAAAGCTGCGGGGAGCAACGGTAAGCATCGAAGTCATCAAAGCCGAAGCAGTGGCGGTGTGATAAGGTTGCAACGACTCTACGCAAGCGCTCAACTCAGCTGGACACCTTTAAATGCACAGTAGCTAATCAGTAACATCTACATATCTACATCCTAACATAAACCATTCCAATAAACAGTACCTGAAGATGCGTGGAGCAAGGGGACTTTTAGACGCGGTTCGGAAAGGGGACCGGGCAGCTTTGGCCTCAGATGCCACCCTGGAGGCGGCGTTACGAACAGCAGACGACCGGAAAATTGATCTAGTGGCGGCGGAGACCGCACCGATTGCCATTTTTGCTTTAAATTTTGCTTCAGTCCCAGTAAAAAGTGGAAATCGAATAAGGGTTTTGGGGTTTGAGAATTGAGATGTGGCGACGACTGCAAAACCCAACTGGGCCGGGTCGTTTAAAATGCTAGCCTAGTAAAAGCCCAAATTACACACATAGCCCAGTAAGGTGGATTTGGATCCAAATATGACAAATTATTCTGTGAACCTGAGTCTATCTTGCAAGATGGATCTGGATCCAAAGATACACAATTTACATATTAATTACTCACAATTTATCATTTAAACATTTACAATTTGTATTGTATTCACAATTTTTTTAAACTTAGAAATACAAATTATATTTTGGAAGTTCATAATTCCAATACTAAAACACACAATTTAAGATCAGGGTTCACCATACAAGGTGAACCTTAGTTCATGTATAAGAAATGCAAAAATATTATATATTTTTAGTTAATAAATTATATAACTATTATAATTAATATATTATGTATATGCAATTAACATATTATATATATGTAGTTGATAAATTACGTATCTATTACCATTAGCATATTATGTACCTACAATTAATATATTATATACTTTAAATTTATTTACAGGTACATAATCTATTAACTAAATGTGCATAATATGTTCACTATAAATATATAATTTAAATGTCGTTTTGAATCAGGATCTACAATGCAATGTGAACCATTTTCATAATATAATTTGTCATAAGTAATTGGGCTATGAATCGAAGGCCTATATCAAATTATAGTAAGCCCATATGTGAAGGATCCGAGGCCCATGTTGTATTAACGACTAACGGTTACTCCTCCCACCCCAATATTTTAAAACTTCGCCTGGTTCACAACGGCTATCTGAATCTGATCTCCGGTTTCTGAAACCACCATTTTCTCAAAGCTCTCTCACTTCTTTAAATCTCTCTAGTTCCCAAAAAATCATTCAAGTCCCTAGATTCTGTTGCATGGGTGAACCCAGTTAGGCAATTCGAACATTCATTTCAGATTTTCAGGTACTCTTCTTCACTACCCACAACTTTATTTTATGCTTTGTTGCAGAGAAAATGCAGAAAACTGGCAAAAGAAAATGCTGATTATATTGTATGGATTTGATAGCTTGTTATTGATGGGTGTATGCTTCGTCTATTTTGCTGATTTCTGGGTTATGAAGTCGTAGAATATACACAATCTAGTTCTCCTGTGTAGTTAACTGTCGAATAATAATAAATGATGATGATGATAGTGTCTCCTGATGTGTAAATTTCTTAAAAGGGGGAAATATGGAGACTTCATGTTTCCGGTGAGAGTTGGCATGGCAGATCTTTGTATTTATAGTTGAAATTCAGGCAAAAATTAGTCATTCTTTTAGTTTCCGTTTCACTTGATAGATCCTTATTTGAACTTTCCTTTAAAACTCGAACGTATTTTAAATATTTGGGATGAAACTAATTTGGTCGGGCCTGATATTGCTGTTAGTAATTTGAGGAATAGATAGTTAAACTTTTACCCTTTAATTGATGAAGCTAGGCAGATATCACTTTCATACCGAATGATGAGTATTCAGATCTCGTAGAATGACTGATTTAGTCGAATTTCAATTGAACCCATATTTTTTATAGTAATCTAACAGATGTAATCTAAGTAATATAGGTCGATCCCATATGAGAAATTGTTTCATACCAAATGAGAAATTGATAAGGAATGCACATTATGCAGGTCTTACTGCTTCTTGAAGTAAGAAAGTCTGTTTCTTGACTGGATTTTTCTTGGATTTGAACAGGTTTTGTTCAAGATAAATTGTTATAAAAGAGAAGGCAATGGGCACAGTACATGAAAAACTAGATGAAGCCATGGCTGAGATTGAGAAGCTCAGGGCAGAGTATAAAATCAAAGCAGAATCATCTGAGAATTTCAAAAGAGCTTACAATGAGCAATTGTCCAAGATTAGGGATGCAAATTCTAAAGTGGATAAGCTCACCCTGGAGTTGAGCCTGAAAGAAGATGAACTGTCTGTTGCAAAGCAGGCATATGAAGAACTGAAGTCAAATCTGAAAGACAAAGAAGCTGCCATCAAGTCTCTAAGATCAGCAAACGATAGGCTCCACGCTGATTCTGCCGAGAAGCTGAAGAAATTCGAAGACGAGAACAGAAGCATGGCAGTGGCGTTAGACGAGACAAATGCAGCAAACGTGGAGCAAGAGCAGCAGATACAGACACTCAGGAATGAAATCGATAGGCTGAGGAAATTGGCAATGGCGTCGCAGAAAATGTCCTGTGAAGTCGAGAAAAGAACGAGAGCCTCCAAGGAGCTGAGACAGAGAGATGATGTGGTGCTCAAGTTAGAGGAGGAAAATCGAGAGCTCGAAGATCAACTTAAATGGAAGAAGGAGCAGTTTGGGCATCTGGCTGAGGCTCATGAGAAGATCCGGCAGCAATTTCGCGAGAGGGAGAAAGAGTGGGAGAAGGAGAAAGACACACTGTTCAATGAGATCTCTACATTGCAGTTGAACTTGGATTCCCAGATAAGGATTTCAGAAGGCCTTCAAACCAGATTGCAGATGTGTAATCAAGCTTTAGCTCATGAAGAAAGCAGGAGAAAAACCCTGGAAGTTCAACTCTCAGAATCTAAAACCTGCATTGACAATGTTTCTGCAGAATTCAAGGAAGCCAAGTCAAGAACCGAGAGTTTAACTAATCAAAAGGATCAAGAAATTGCAAATCTAAGAGATGCATTGGGCACAAGGAATGCAACATACAAGGAAACAGAATACCGGTTCAGAAAGCTAGAGCAAGAGAACCGGGAATTGATGGCATCCCTCAAAGAACTCCAGGAAGCTGGAATCAACAACACTGGACATTCTTCGTTGCCAAAACTCAGAAACAAGCTCTTTGTATCTAGGGTCGAGTCCTTAAATTTGATTGAGGAAAAACAGCTTCCGTTACAGATAGAGGTTGATAAACTTAAAGAAACACTCAAAGAAGCATCAACACATCAAGTGCATTTGAAGGAGCAGGTGCTGAAAACAAAGAGTGAATTGAAAGAAGCAAAAGATGCCTTGGATAGAGCAGATGAAGAACTAGCTGAAAGTTATTACGAGGGAAAAGTAATCGAATCTGAATTGCAAATATGGAGATCTGTTGCTGAAAGGTTACAATCTAGACTCGATGAAAACCACCAAGTGCGGAGAGAAGTAGAAGCTTCGCTTTTTGCACAGGTGGATGTGGAGTTTGAGCTCAGATGGGAAAAAGATAGGCTTGAGCACATTCTAGCGGATAAAGAAGAAGAAATAAAAGAGCTCCAAGATCAGATTGTGTTACTGAATGAGAAACTCAATATAAGGGAGACAAGGGCACTTCAATCTCCACTCGGCAAGAAAAACTCACTGGATATTCACAAAGAGCTGGAGTGTTTTGAAGAAGAGTGGTTGAGAAAAGAACTCGAAAAAGCCATTTTAGCTCAGGTAGAAGCAGAGGGATACCATAAGAAAGAGAAGGAAATTCTCCACCACAAAATACAGGATCTCCAGAACCTCGTCAGTTTGCTGGAACTAGAATCAGAAAATTCATCCAGACTTCTCGCGATGCAGGCAGAGACTGGTATGTTCCAGAAAACATGGGAGACAATCAAAGAGGTTTTGGTACTGAAAGAGATTGAAGTCCAAGAAAAAAGTATGATTAATTTGGAGCTCGAAAATGATTTAAACACTTTGCAACATAAAGTTACCAACCTGACATCTAAGCTTGAGAGGCTGCCATGCAGTTCAGATGTCGCGATGGAGAAGCTTATGGAAGAGAAAGCAAAGGCAGTGGAAGATGTGAGGAAGCTGTCATCCGAGAGGGAAATATGGCTGGATATGTTTATGAGATTGTCAAATAGGATAAGCCAGCTATCCATGGAAGACATGGAATTAACTAATGAACTGGGAAGAATCATGCAGACTTGTGGGGCATTCGGTCTAGACATGAAAAGGATCAATAAATTCTTTGATCCTGCGAAAGAGAACCTGAACATATGCTCTTCTCCAACTAAGAATGTTGAAGATAGATTGCCATTCAGAGCTATCAACAACTAACTGGATGTTGTTGATCTTGCAGGAGCTGTTTTTATTTAGCTTCTCCTCATCTATCTTACAAGATCGAGTTGATAGTTTTTTATCACGTTGGTTCTGTGTGCATCATATTTTTCATACAATTTGTCTTATCGTTATTGTTGCCAGAATCATAAATTTATCTGTTTTTATTTTTATATTTCTCTGTGCCAGAATCAATCATTACACTGATTTATCCACTCCCAAAGTAAAAATCATATGCTTATACTTGGGGAGTCTGCTTTTTTCATCAGGCATCCCGGCTGACATAAAAACTTTGTATCTTTTAGATTCTGGATCGTACCCAAACAATAGGTTTGAAAAAGTTTGGGGATGGACTCTTGGAAGGAAAATAAGCTGTCCCGTACTAACGTTGCAAACAGCGACGTTTCTATTGGATCTGGACCTACAAATAAACAAGCCGTCGGAGGAGGAGGAGCATAGATAGAGTTGAGCGTCCAGGTAGCCGACACGGTTGGCTTGGAGCATTCCCCGGCGGGTGTTTTCTACTTCGCTGAAATTTACGGTGTAATATGCAGGGGAACGGTCGGCGTGCGGTCTGGCAGAGATGAGAACGCCCGCCCTACTGGGAAGCGTCAAGGACAAGCTGCGATGCAGAACTCCAAAGCCATGATCAGCTATGAGAGCGGAGAAGAATTTAGAAACGCACCTGAATCGTACTAGGGATTTAGTAGGGAGCTTGGAGAGGATCTCGACTAGAATGTCTTGAGGTAACGAAAACGTTGAAACAACACCCGCAGTCATCTTCGATCCACTCATCGTATCGTAGGTGCTGAAGTTTAATTTAATTTGATTGTCAGTCAATCAAAGACTGGTAAGTAGATACCAATACATCATCTAGAGTCAGGTATGAGGCAAATAATGGTTGATGGTCTATCGTGCAACACAACAGGAACATCAACTGTGGCTAGAGATCAACACGGCTGCGCTTTCGCACTCATACGAGATCAGATCACTCGTATATTATGGTTCATTATAGTTAGACTATTTAGATCTAACATTTGATATCAGTGCATTTATCAATCTCTATTGTTTTGCCTTAATCAACATTAATATCTTTATATACATCAAGTTTGTATATATTTGTTTCTTAAAAATTATTTCGAAAAATTAGATTAATTTTGTGTACATAAAGTTTCCTGTACATAGTTTATTTTTTGAAAATATTGCTTGGAATTTAATTATGAGCATTAAGCACAATTATTTTAATTTCCTTTATTTTGAAATTAAATGTATATTGTGATTCTTTTGGCGTGACTGTCGCCAATTTGTTTTGGCCGGAAAAAGAAGGAGTCCTATGCATTGGTTCAAATGCGACTCGCCGCCATTAGATTTTTGGCTTTATCGATAGGACGACACGACGGTGGTGTGACTTGGAATTGCAGGCGGTGGTTGTTGGCGTTGCACAATGAGGAGAGGCAGCGGAGGCGTGGCTGGGTTTTCCCGGCGGCGTAGCTGCTTGTTCTTCTCTTTCAGGCGACGCCGACGACGGGCTGCTGCTCTCCATCTCCGTGCTGCTGTTGCGTTCGTCGGCCGGCGGAGGCTGCGTCGCGAACGGCGGCGTGTCGCGACGAGGAAAGATGGCGGAGGAGAGCTGGTTTTCCGGCGTCGTCGCGTGTCCTCTCTTTCTCCTTCAGGCGACTCTGCTGCTAGGTTTCCGGCTTAATTAACATGAAGAAGAAGATGGTGATGGATTATGATTCTTTGGGCCGGGTCAGGCCCATTCGGGCAGACCTGGAACAACACTTAAAAAAAAAAAAAAAAAATCAATGCCTACTTTAGTTAATGGGCTTACTTAAGTATTTTTCATCATCATATTTAGACTTCTTCTAGATTAATTGCTCAATTTAATTTATTCTTAATTCATTATTAAATTATAATTCAATTTAGGGCAAATATTAAGTTTTAATTTGCTATTTGAATATTAATTTAATATTGAGGTCCATATTAAATTGCCTCAAGTATTGCAATTTATTTAGAATAGGTTAATAATATATTAATATGCAAATCCAAGCGTGCTACGTATATTTATTAAATAAGTATTTTATTGTTATAAGTATACATTCGTAATAGCATGCATTAAGGTTGGATTTAGCATATTATTAACTCATAAATTCATTATCAAATATCATTCAATTTTAGATCATTAGGTCAATTTTAGTCATTACGGCCTATTAAAGGTAGCTTGTTGTGGTTTCCCCTTAATTTTGGACATATTTTAGTTCTATATGTCTCTGAGACTTTAGAACCTATTCTGAACAAGCTATTTGGGACCTATCTTGGGTCATTAAAGTATGGATCCCATCATTCAGATTGATATTTTAATAATAATTATAACTCATTTTGATTATAACATGTTTATTCAGTTTTAATTATTACTAACTACCATATTTTGGTATTCAACGTTGGTAATAATATTAAGTTTTGGATCTACTTCAGTACTAGACCAGTCTCCATCCATGTTATAATTCATTTGGGCCATTGAAGTTTATGAACCTAATTTGAGTGATTAAGTGCTATAATTATTGTCTTGGCATGTTTAGAGACATTAATGATTTAATTGTTATTTTGACCATTAAGAACTATAACTATTGTTTAAGTTGATTAAATTTTTAATCTATCAATAGTTTTTCAGGGCCTTAATAATAATATTAAGTCCTTAATTTTATGGAAACAACAATATAGTTGGTATATTGTCTGTATAATGGTAATTTAGTTATTACCTTAACTTGAGTCTCCATAAGTATCATAATAGTCATGGTTAATTATTATGTGGTAAATTGAGATTAGTATTTGGCATCCCTTAATTATAATTTTGTCTTTATTGTAAGAGTAAATACCAGTGGACATCCTCCAACTTTGGTGGCACTGCCACTTTTAGTCCTCACCTTTTAAATCAACCACTTTCAGTCCTCCTACTTTTTGTTTCTAACCATTTAAGGTCCTTCCGTTACACTTGGCCATCTAATGTCGTTTTCTCAAGGAAAATTTGGTCTGTTCTTGAAATTAAAATTAGCTGAAAATTAGGCATGTTAATGAATGCAAGGCGCGAAATTTCTTCCAAAAAACATACTGAATACATTAATTATGAAAGGACCAAATTACCCTTGAGAAAACGGCATTAGATGGCCAAATGTAACAAAAGGACCATAGATGGTTATAAACAAAAAGTAGGAGGACTGGAAGTGGTTGATTTAAAAGGTGAGGACTAAAAGTGGCAATGCCACCAAAGTCAGAGGATGTCCATTGGTATTTACTTTTATTGTAATTATTATTAATTGGCACTATTAATTACCCTTATTAAGTTTAAGGGCTAATCTCATTTATTACCTTTCATAATAATAATTATTTCATGGTAATCTGCTATATTTGGTATATTGGCATGATTACCACTTCATTTTACATGACTATTAATGTTGGTAATTAAGTCCTACCAATAAAAATTTTTAAATGTACCATTGGACGCTGCATCGAGGCTACTGACACCGACAATGAAGATGGGAGAATTCTGGCGTTTTTTCTTCTCTTGTGGATCGTCATCGTTGTTAGCGCAATGGGGAGATGCGGTTTGCATCATTAAGGTTAGCCATTAATTATCTTCTATGGTTATTATTGATAATTAGTGCTACAGTTACAGTTAACCGCTAATTTGGATTAGTCACATATTTTTATCTTTAGAAAAATGAAAACATTTAAAGGTGCATTACCATACTTTAGTTAATAGTGATTATAATGTTTGTTATTGCTATTAATAATTAATTAATGATAACATTAATATTGTTATGGTGTTCAGATATGTACCTTGAACTGTTTCCAAATAAATTTATGTGACAATATTCCAGTTAAGAAACTATTTTTCTTGACATTAATGTTTGTCGGACTTTAAATTTTATTAAGTTTTCAAAATTTTATCCGAAAACGTTTATAAATGTTAGTGGCTTTAACCATTGTTTTTCCATATTTAGTCTCCTACATAATGTGATAATATTATTATGAAAATTTATTGCTATTTTGGTTATTTGCAATTTTGCCATTCATAAAAATAATTTTATTATCTGGGTTATGGAGAATGATTTTGAATCAATTTAGTATTCTTGGAAAAACATATTTTCTAGGCAATTGACTTTTGCCATTAATTCAATAATTATCTAGTTCTTTGAATTATGATTGTCCATATTTGGTTATGTATGAATAGATGAATATTTGGTTTAAATTCATATTCTTTAGTTGGTTCATACTTTCTAGATTGTTTCATGCATTCGATCACATTAAGTGCGTAATATTAAGTTTAATTATGCAATTAGGGTTTGTGAGATTTTGATTTACAAATGATAGCATATATATCCTTTTGGTTTGATATTGTTTGAATTTGTAAATTCAGTTATTTCTCATAAATTTGATCTTTATGCATTAAAACATTTTTCCATGGGCTTACAGTTTAAAAATTATAAAGTATATATCCAGTACATTATTATTCAAAATGTTGAGTCTCTTTTAGTTTGGACTCATTAGTGTTTGAATATTAAGTTTATACTTTGAAATCTCATATTGTAAATTTGCCTTAAGTTATGCAATTTATTTGGAATATACGAGTTTAATGTTTAATTTTATGCATATTTGTCCTAAGCATAATATTCTGTTTTAAATTATGCAATTTTATTATGCCTTTAGCAATGCATATTTTGGGATGAAATTATATTAGTTCCTATTTAAGTTGGACTTATGCATAAACTTTAGTTGCGGTAGTGCCCGAATTTAAGCACGTTTAGTCCGCTAATTTAGTTCATCATTTAAGCTTCAATCATAGGTGAACCTTACAGTTTATTGGTGCATACCCTACAGTTTCAAGTTCATACCCCCAAACAGTTATGCAGTAAGTATATATGAATTGAAGAGGCATACTAGTTTTAATGCCCATGACTTGAGAACATCTTGTTCCACTAGTCTCATTAAAATTGATACTCTATTTAAGGAATTGGTTTTCAGTGAGACTTAGTCTCTAACCGTCTTTCCTTGTAGTATATTTAGATTTTCCCATCACAATATGGTATAATCTGTTTGTCAAAAGTTTAAGTATTCCTTGCCAATGTGATTTGATTTCGGTTCGTTAAAGAATAACCAAAACATCTTTAATTTA